AAGATGACCACTTCAACTTGCACCAAACTGGAGCAATGGTAGGTCCATGGTGGTTCCTCCATCGGCCCTTTCTTAATCATCACAAGCACTTGACCCCCTCAAATGCATTCAATCTCATGAAATCTCTAATCAAATTAAACCAATATTATCCAAACTTGGGAAAAACAGGGGAAAATGCAAAATACTTTAAAAATAAAAATAAATAATTCAACTCAACATATATCTAAAAATATTCACATTATTTAACACAACAGCAGCTAGAACAAAACTGTTCTATCCAATGAAATTGAGAATTATTATCCAAACTTGGGAAAAACAGGGGAAAATGCAAAATACTTTAAAAATAAAAATAAATAATTCAACTCAACATATATCTAAAAATATTCACATTATTTAACACAGCAGCAGCTAGAACAAAACTGTTCTATCCAATGAAATTGAGAATTACAAAGAAATCATACTAAGGAGCAGCGAAGGGGCAAAAAATAAAAGGAAAATACAAACTAAGAAGAGAGGTGCATGTTAGCAAAACACTCTCCTACTAGGAAAACAAAAAAAGAGTAAAAAGGATTAAATTAAAATATTTAATATCAAAATCATTTCTACTTTCTTTACTTTTTCTCTTCACCAGTTTTCCGACGAGTCGGTTTCCTCGGGCTCGGGCTTCTTGTTGAGGTCAATCAGGTCGTGGTGGAACCAGGAGGACCTGGTCACCGCGTGGTCCCCGCGGCCGTGCGGCGCCGGCGGATCCCCGCCGCCTCCGGCGCCGGCCTGGAGGGCGTCGACCCTGGAGCCAACCTCCACCGCCATCTGCCTGATGGCGGCGGCGGAGAGGTCCCCCCCGGCAGCGGGGGCGGGGCCGACCTCACCGGGGAAGTTGAGCCTGGCGGTGGGGCCGCGGAGGTGGTAGACGGCGGTGTCGTAGGCACGCGCGGCGGCGACGGCGGTGGAGTAGGAGCCGAGCCAGATCCTTGAGCGCTTGTTGGGCTCCCTGATCTCGGCCACCCACTTTCCCCACTTGCGCATCCTGATGCCCTTGTACGGCTTCTCCGCCCCGCGCCGCCTCGACCCGCCGCCCGCTGAAGAGCCGCCGCCGCCGATTTCCATACCGGTAAAATTTTGTGGAATTGTTTTATGAATAGGAGAGGAAAAGGGTTTACGAGGTAAGAAAATGAGAAAATAGGGTGAAGCGGGCTGAGGTGCGGGCCGTTATTGTGGAGTTGGGCTTACGAGGCAACCTAAGCTGCGTGCTTTGTCCACGTTTGTTTTTGCCCCAAAAGCATGTCGGTTTTTGTGTTTTATTTTTAATTTTTTTAGGATGCCCAAAACGAACTCATAAACTTCACCGACACCGCCTCACGCGCACTTTCTCTCTCTAAAATTCTTGTGTTTGGAGGTAGCGAAGTGTGTGGGACGATTTTGGAGCTATATCAATTATCTATAAATTCGGAGCTGTACTGTATATTTGGAATTTTCTATACCTTTATTATAATATAATATAATGATGATGATAGCATAATAATAATAATAACCAATTCTCCATCTTGTGCATATAAACAAAATATGTAAAATAATATAGTAATATGAAAATTGTATGTGTAAAATAATATGGTAATATGAAAATTATTTATAAGGACTATTTTATTTATGGCAATATAAATTGTTCTATAAAATTAATATATCAACTAAAAAATTCTATGATGTTATTTNACAAGACCATTTACGCTTCTAAAGAGGAGAAAAACACCATAAACACACAAGCACAAAACAAACACAGAAGCTAAAAAAGACACAAAATAACTACAATAACGCCCTCCTCGATAGCCTACCAGAAGCACTTAACATCCAACATGAGACCGACCACGAACAACAAACCTAAGAAAGCAGACCAAGCCCGAGAAACAGACGCTGAAACTCCCTTCTTTAAAGAGGAGTTGGCTAACGACATCAGCCGACACCCAACCCCGAACCCACTCCCCAACTGAACCCTACCGGAGAAGCACACAGAGGACCGTCCCTCCCCCTTCCCCCAACACACCACACCGCCGCATCTCGAAGTACCCCGACCAACAAAACTCCTGCCGGACCCCAGGGAGCACCGGATCAAGGAGCAAGGGATAAGAAAGGGCCCTCCAAAGCCCCGACCACCACCAGCAGCAGGTGACGCCGACAACCCCACCTCACCGCCGAACCGCTGGGAACGTCCCACGGCAGACATCCGGACTAAAAGAGAATTTGGGAAGAAAACATACTTAGACGGAATGAAGAAGGCGAGGACGCCTTGGCGCTAGTCAGTCTCATGGCGGATCGATAGCGCTTTTTTTTTTTTTGCCACAAATAACACTTTTAAGCGCTATTGGAATCACTATTATCTGAAGAGCCCATCACATAACGCTTTTTTATACTAAGTGTTATGTGAATGGCTGATGGAGACGAGGCCGCATTGGTGTTTTTGCAGTATTATGACCGTTTGCGTGTTTAGCATATTTATTTTACCGTTTTACTTCATTTTGGACTATTTCTATTTTTTTTTTCAGAAACGATTATTATTATAAACAAAAGGCAAAAGCCAAAAGAAAATACAAGAGAGCAATTCCACCGGGATTACATACTACCAGGGAATAATCAGCACTAAAGCCTACCACCAACACAATTCACTACCTCCTCAAAAAAACAAAAAACAAAAAGTATCCTAAATACAACAAGACTAAATACAAAAAGATAACCGAGGCTAAATACAACTGTCAACAGAGCAAAACTAGCAACACTAGCAAAACAAAAGAATCTACAAAAGGAGAGGGAGTCAATGGGAACAACTGAGCAAACAACCTCCTAGCTAGCCAAAGCTCCACCCAGCTCCAAACAAGATGAAAGATCCGCAGAAGAAAGCTTGATACCACTGAGATTAGAAAATCCCCTAGCACAGCAAGCAGATACTTCTAAGAAAAACAAACATGCCGATCAAATTCCATCCATTCTGAAACCGCGCCATCCACCAGTCCTTTTCACCTTTCCAAATTCCTTCAAACACCCACAAGTTTCGGGTCTTCCAAAGCCACCAAAGAATATACACCGAAAGTTGAAGCCTATTTTGGAAGTTTCTCGACTTTTTTGAGTCTGTTAAATTTCCCCACCAATCATTGATATTTCTGATTTTTTTATCATTGCAAGGCCAGGATACTGGAGAAATTTACCACACAGTTTTTGCCCTATCACAGTTAAAGAAAATGTGTTCTAAGGTTTCTTCCTCCTCTCCACACATAGGACAAATTTGATCATCTTTCAGTTTTTTCCTCCACAAGTTTGAGCTGGTTGCCAAGCAATTATTCAAAAACTTCCATATAAAGTGTTTGATTTTATTTTTTACCTTTAACTTCCACAACAATCTCCAGAAATTGCTCTTCTGTTTCCTTTACTTACTCCCTTCAGGCTTATCTTCTTTTTTCTTCTGGTAGGATAAGATGGCCTGTTTGGCAGATTTCACACTAAATTTCCCATTTTTTTCCAAGTGCCAAACCAAGTCATCATCCATCTCCATTCTATTCAGTGGAATTTTGAGAATGGCTTCAGCATCAATAAGGTTGAAATTTTGCAGTATAAGATCCTTTTTCCATCTTTTGTTCTCTGAATCTACCAATTGGCTGACCCAAATGAGCCTTGGATCTCTACAATTCCCACCCAACAGCTTGAACGAAGGATTAGAAGGGATCCATGAAGAGCCAGAGATTTTTGTCAGATTGCCATTTTCAATTCTAATTCGTAAGCCCAACAATAAATAATCAAAAACCTTCATCCAACCAGTCCAAAGCCATGATTGGTTATATTTGTTCTTTGGTTTGACCCACCAGTCTGCACAAATATATTTAGCTTTCATAGTTTTACTAACCAAGGTATCAGGTTCAGTATAAAGCCTCCAAAGTTGTTTCACCAACAAGGCCTCATTTGTTAACTGAAGATTTTGCCACCATTAAATTTTGGCACTGTCAGCTTGTCCCAATGCATCCAATGAATTTTATTACCTCCTGACTGGTTTTCACCCCACCAAAAATTTGTTGTTAGGCTGTTCAGAGAATTGCAACAAGCATGGGGAAGTTTAAAACAAGACATCACATAATTTGGTAAAGCATTCACCACAGATGTAATAAGCACTTCCTTCCCTGCTGGATTCAGCAACTGATTTTTCCAGTTATTAACTTTTAATTTCAACCTTTCACTAACAAAGTTAAACACTTCCAGCTTTTTGCTCCCTATGACCAAAGGTAAACCAAGATAAGTAGCATTAGGGACTTCTTTGATATTTCCCAGTACAAAACAAACTGTCTGTTTTACCAAAAAGAGAGTATTCTTGCTAAAGTAGCAGGAGGATTTCTCAAAGTTGATCAATTGACCAGAGTTGATACAATATCTGTCCAGAATAGATTTAATCCTCCGAACTTGATTAATTTCAGCTTTACAGAATAAAAGGAAATCGTCAGCAAAAAACAAATGAGTGATTTCCGGAGCGTTTTTAGTCAACTTTAAACCTTGAAGATTCTTATGCAGACAGGTTGATTGTAACATATTAGAGAGACCTTCAGTGATCAAAATAAAGAGAAAAAGAGATAAAGGATCTCCTTGTCTGAGTCCCCTCTTTGGAAGCACAAAACCCCTGCTCTGACCATTTACTTTGAAAGAGTAAGAAGCTGAAGTAAGGCAAGCCAAGATCCACTTCACAAAAATAAGATCAAAACCCATTTTTTCCATAATAGCTGAAAGATAAGACATTCCATTCTGTCGAACGCTTTAGAAATATCAAGTTTGATGGCTAAAAAACAGTCTTTGATTTTTCTACAATTATTTAAGAAATGAAAACACTCATGGGCCAAAACAATGTTATCTATGATCTGACGACCCGGAACAAAGGCCGATTGGCTATAATTAATACACAGCCCTAAAACTTTCCTTAGTCTACTTGCCAACACTTTGGATATGACCTTGTACAGCACATTGCAAAGACTTATCGGTCTATAGTGCCCTAAACACAAAAGATTTTTTATTTTTGGAATGAGAGTGACAAGAGTCTGGTTGACATTTCTGGGCATTTGGAAGGAGTAAAAAAAAATTTTCACTGCAGCACATAAGTTGCCCTTGATTAAAGACCAAAACAATTGAAAAAAGATAGAGGACATACCATCAAAACAAGGAGATTTATTGGGGTGAAGATTGAAAAGTGCATCCTTAATTTCTGGCTCCTCCACTTCTCTGGTCAAATCTTGGTTCAATGATGGAGATAGGACATTTTTAATACCCTCCAAACTGTCAACATTAACTGCCGAGTTAGAGGATTCAAAAAGTTTCTGAAAGGTGGAAGTGATTTCCTGAACAATTTATTCTTCAGAACTGCAGATTAGGCCATCCTCTCTAACTAACTTCTCAATTGTATTCCTTCGACTCCTCTGGACAGTAGTTGAATGAAAGAAGGAAGTATTTCTATTCTCTTCCTTTAACCACATTATTCTTGACTTGTCTTTCCAGTATGTTTCCTCATTCGCATAGGCGTCATCAAGCTTAAGTTTCACCGATTTCCACTCCCCCCAGTCCCTATTTCCCCCTTCCGCTATCAATTTTTCCAGCTTTTCCTTGCATTCATCAATTGTTTTCTTGGAATTGGATTGTAAGCCCTGCTTCCATTTCAACAATTCTACTCTATAGTTCTTGATTCTCTCTTGAATACTGAAGAGGGGGTAGCCATTCACATTCCTCTTCCAAGCAGTTTCTACAATTGTCAATGCCGTCTAATTTCAACCACCTTCTACAAAACAAAAGTTTTTCTTCCAAATGTTCTTTTTTTCCTCAGTATTCATCAATAGAAGAAGATGATCACAAGATGGTCTCAGGATGTGGAGAATATGAGAGTAAGGAAATCTGAGCATCCAATCCTTAGAGCCAAAACCGCGATCTAATCTTTCTTCTATCAAATCATTTCCCTGCCTTAAATTACTCCAAGTAAAGGGGTGTCCTTTAAAAGGAGTTTCGGCCATTTTCATTTCTCCAGTGAAATCCAAAAAGCTAAAAAAACTTGAGGTCAATCTGTCTTTGCCACCATTTTTTTCCTCATTTGAAGTGATGTCATTGAAGTCTCCTCCCATCCACCAGCAATCACCCCAACTTTTAGAATCTCTAATCAGTTCAGTCCACTGCAGCTGCCTAGTCGAACCATCTGTGCTAGCATATACAAAAATAAGCCAGAAGGAAACCTCCAATCCCTCCAATTTGCACTGTAGTTGAATACAAAAATCTGTAAGGATAGACTGCAAAATAGTGATTTTATCAGACCAAAACACCAACAAACCTCCTTTCTTTCCAACAGGGTCTACAACCATCCATCTTTCCTTCACTCCTAAATTTTTACAAACTGTCTTAATAAATTTGTTATTTTTTTTTTTTGTTTCACATAAGAAGCCAAAATCTGGGGAGTGGAGTATGCACACCTCCTTAATTGGGGAATAGTAGAAGGGCTCCCCAAACCTCTACAATTCCACACCATTACCTTCATTGGATTGTTTGGATTCCATTATGGCTGGAACCCTCCACCCTTAGCTCAATTATATCCTCTTTAGATAAGCCATCCCACAACTTCTGCTTTTTTGCTCCCTCTGCCAAATTATCTTCCGGCTCCGCATTAGAAACCCAACCTCTTTTCTTACTTCTCTATTGCCTTGGTTCATTTGCAATTGGATCCTCATTTTTAGGGATTGCTTCCCTTGCTATGTCTTTTGTTGTGTTGCTGATGTTTTGAAGTTCCTGTGGCTCTATCAACTCCTCATCGTTTCCATTGATTGCAGCCCTCTCCTCATCATCCTTGTTACACCATTCTTCGGAGTATGTAAGGTTGCCTTTCTCCCTAGTATCTTGGTTTAAAAGGATATCTTCCATCTGCACATCACCTTCAAGTACCACTGCTCCAGACTTATTTTGGTGATCTTTCTGCACAACACCTTCATAATCCACTGCCCCAGATTTATCCAAGTGATCTCTTTCAGTCCCTTCCCTTTTCTCAGGTGGAAATGGCGAGTTTGAGCCCCTCTCTTCAAATTTCTTCCCTAAGGGCCGTCTATCATAAGCCCGTAACCAATCCCCATACTGACCCTCCGTAACTACCTCTTTTTGAATATCAACATGTTCCTTTTCACATCCTCTTTCTGAATGACCAACCAACCCACAGTAGTAGCAAAACCCCATTAACTGTTCATATTTGAAGTCTACCAACCTAGTTCTGCCTCCAAGAGAAATCGTGGTGCCTCTTAGCAATGGTTTTTCCAGATCAATTGTCGCCAGTACTTTGATAATTCTGCCATTAACACTGCCACTTTCCAGAAGTACCACATTTTTCACCTCAGTGAACAATCGCCCTATTTTGTAACCTGTTTTAACTGACACCCATTGACAAGGCACATTCCACACTTGAATCCACAAATCTAAGTGACTTAACTTCCCAATTCTTTCATGGATATCCTCAGACCACTCCTCCAGAATCAAATATTGGTTATCAAAGGCCCACAAATTCCCATTTTTAACTCGCTTTTTATCTTGCTCCTGTTGAAGCACGAATTGGTATGTGTTGAATCCCAACTCCTTGATACTGAAGGAATGTTCAATTCGTCATACATGATGTAAAGTTCTGTTCAGCCCTGCATAATTTGCTTTTTTGGCTCCGTAAATTCTCCCGAACAAACTACGACTACATTCATTTTCGCTAAAGGCCACATCATTCTTTCTCAAGTGTAATCCCGAATATTTCTCTCTATGATAGGACAAATCTGCCTAATTTTGCAGTCAGTTCGGTATCACAATCTTTGTCCATGCTCCCTGCCCTAGAACCAAGTCTTTGACCAGAAAGTAAGAGAATCTGCAGAAAAAAAGATGTACAAACAAAAGGAACATACAAAAGGTAGAAAACCAGAAAGATTTCACAAAGAAAAATGGAAGAAAGGCCTAATCTCACAAGGAGAAGACGCACTCGAAGAAAGAGACTTATGCACTCCTAACATAGGAGAATTTTAGTGTCTACCAATATATTGGACTATTTCTATTTAGTATTAGCAGTTATGTCGTTTTTATTAATTGTAGGGTGGTTTATTTAATTAGTAGGATTTATCATGTAGGAAGTAGAGTTAGTGGGGATCTCTTTATTTATGTACGGGACAAACAGACAGAAAACTCATTCACGATTGAAATAAGAAATCTGTTGTCTTTTGAGTTCGAATTTTCCCTTTCGATTACATCCTCTACATCAATGGCCCTTCACATAACGCTTTTTATACTAGGCGTTATGTGAAGTTCCCTTCACATAACGCTCTTTTATACGAAGCATTATGTGAAGAACCATTCACTTAACGCTTTTTATGCTAAAAGTTATTTGTGTATTNATATATTGTGCTTGTATCCATTAACTACCTATACCAATAAACAAGAACCATGTAACTTAAATCATAACCCCATATACCAAGAAAGCAAGGACCAACAAGAAAACAACACAAACATGAATATAACAAAAACTTACTAACACAATCCACCAATTTTAACATTGTGCTCGTGCATGAACAAGAGAATAATGTAGCACAAAATCATGAAAGAATCTCCAATTCCAATAAATCAAGAAAAAAAACTAATATTCCTAGTAAGAAATTCGACCACCATTAGCCAATATCCTGACCAAAAAAATTTTGATTGCAACCTCCTGCATCGCAAAAGTTATACATAACCATCCTGGCACTGAAATATTTAAACCCCCTAAGATCCCTCTCAGTCCTTTTCCTTTTTTTCTCAGATTGCTCCAGCACCTCATTCCAATCCCCTCCTACAACTCAATTATCACCCCACTCTTGTTTGGCCCTTTCCAAATAATCTCATTGTTCCTCTATAACCCTTTTTAAAGGGTTGGCATAAACAAAGATGAGCCAGCAAGACCCTGCCCCACCCTGACCTTTAATCTCACTTCAAAACAGAAATGGAACCACAGCCTAGAGCAAAAAAATAACCCCACTTAACCCATGAGGTTCAACAGCTTGCCGTCTGCCCTCGTAACCTATATTGTTACAGAAAATTTTATATAAAAAAAAATGGCGAGGTGAATTCTTGTTGACTCCTTCAATTAGGCAACTGTAGAGGGTCCTTGCATACCTCTACAATTCCACACCATGACCTTCATTGAGGGGTTGGGGGCCAATTTAGGCTGGCCACCTCCACCTCCTTTTGACTCCCTTATGCTTTTTTCCTTTGCTCCCTTGTTTGTTCAGATATCTTTCTTCCTCCTCTGTACTTCCTTATATTTGCAACACTCTTTTTCTAGTTCAATTGACTTCTTGCTTTCTTGTCTGCTCTTGGTTCTAGCCAGTCTCCCCACTTGATTCGAGTTTCTCCTCCATCCTCTCTTTTGTAGGTGTTGTTCAGTTTCCTGATTACTTACTTCCATAGTTGTTTGATTAAAGCCTTCTCTAGATAGGTTTCCTCCGCCTTTAATTCTTCCTTGTTCTGTTGCCCATTATTAACCTCAGCACCCTTGGATCTTCTTCAGAATCCACCATATCCATCCAAGCATCAAGCCTTCCATTTTCTTCTACTATTTTTATTGACATTGCAATATTGTTATACTATACTTTAATCTTACAGCGATGACCCACATATCTAGCAGACGTGAATGCTTTAGGAGGTGCTTGCATACAAAAAAAATCCAATCAAAAATCAGTTACTTTTAGTCAATCGTTTTTTTTTTTGTTTTTTTCAAATCTAATTCAAACTAACTTTCCTCAATATTATCAATATAATTAAATAGTATCATCAAGCAACCTCTCACATTAACTTTAATTCAATATTCATCAACTAAGGTTGCTCATTTGGTCAAAATCAAACCAAACCGACCAGAAAATTTGATTTATCCATTATAAGAATCAAAGACGGAATCAAGATTTATGATTTATTTTAATTGAAAATCCAAACTACAAAATTTGATTTTTTTTATCACCTTGTTTAATCTTTTCAATAAATTCTAAATTCTCCTCTGTGAAAGATCTCAAACCGGAACCATGATTTGGGCTATGAAGAAGCCAATTTTGAATGCAAATTAATGATTGAGCTATTTTAGGGGACATTGAAGTTTGAAAATCATCAATTATTAAAGAAAATTAATGCTTTTATGACATTGGTACATCAAAACCTCCAACCGGCTGGAAACGGCTAGCTCGAACTCCTCCTCGCTGGTTGAACGTTGCGTACCTGCAAAGAACTTTCACGCCGGAAGGGATTTCCAATGAAGGGCATCTGATGCTTAAGTCAGTCTCAAGCTCAACTCAATTCTCAAGAGTATAATGGATAAATCGTGCTCAAAACGTAAGGCTCACCCCTATATATAGGGGTGAGGTACATGCTTCTAGATACTGCCCAAATCAGCTGAGTTAGCTGCCCAAGAGCTGCCCGGTCTGCCAGGTAGTACAACACATAGTGTGCGTGTGTCAGAGACGGTTATTCAGTAGGGACCAATCATGTCGTGCCACGTGTCCTCTGCACATGGGGTCTTGATTCCCCTGAGATCTTATCGAAGGCTCTAGTGTTCGACCAAGTCTAAGTCGATCTGTCAATGGCTCCCAGTCCGAGAAGTGGTCGATCCATCGACCAGTTGTACCGCAGGTCGATCTTCTACCAGACCCTCCATGATTCTGGGAACAACCTGCTCTCCATGCTCGAAATCTCTCTCTAGGTTGTCTTACAATCCACGGATTCTTCCTCTTGCAATGTTCGACCACGACCACTCTTTTCGTATTTATTCGACCAGTGCAGCTTGACTGGTTTGTTCGCTCGATTCGCCGGCTTATTCGACCGGTTTACTCTTTTAGGTATGTTATCCCATATCAAACGTATATATATAAATTAATATATATATATATATATGTGTGTGTGTGTGTGTGTGTGTGTGTAAATCAGTTTTTAGTTCGGTTCGGTTAATCGATCACTATTATACAAAATGAACCGAAAACCAAAATATTAAGAAAATGTAAACCGAATATCAAACTAAATATTCATTTTCGGTCGGTTCGGCTCGGTTAACTGAATTTTGTGCACCCTTATCATCAACTCACATAATTTTCACTTTCCATCACTTCCAATCATCTTTATCATACTTTTACATCAAATAACCTTTAATCATTTTATTTTAAAATTATTTTAATATAAAATTAAAATCCCACTTAAACCTAACTCAACCAACTCTTTTAAAACTAACGTTGGTTAACCAACGAATTCAATCAAAACTAAAATAGTTCAAACATAACTGATATCCAAGCACTTTCTTAGAGCTTGCTTGTTTATAAGTATACCAAAAAAAAAAAAATTAATCTCAACTCAAAATATATCTCAACTTTAACTCAACACTACTATTCTCAATATTATAAATATAATTAAATAATATCAATCTATTATTCTTACTCATCACATCGCTCTTATATGCAATTCCCGAATGTGTCGAGCCTAAGTGGTAGGCTCGTATGCTTCGTAAGCTTATTTAGCAAAAATTTGTACTTCATATTGACAAATGAAAACGTTTGATTTTGGCTATTAGGCTTTTGATTTACCTTAAACTAATTTAGTTTTTTTTTTAAGTTATCATATACTACTCGTACTTTTTCTTATTTGATCACAATTGGATTCCAGAACTTCAGGATGGGGTACCAAAATTGAGGGTTCAGATTGAAGGGCAGAATTTTTGTGTGAAAGACCTACTAATGGCTGGAGGATGTGAATGGGATGAGGCCATAGTCAGAGCCCTGTTTGAGGTGGAAACTGTTGATAAAATACTCAAGATTAAGCACATGAACCCTAGAGCTCAAGATCAGTGGGTAAGTCCTTTTCTGAACAAAGGCTGTTTCTCTGTGAAAGCTGCATATGATGTTCTGATTAAGGGTAAAATAGAGAGGATGAGACAGGCTGAGAGCAGTCTGAGTGCAGAAGGAAACATTAGAGCAAGAATGAGATGCTGGCAACTGAAAGTGTCAAACAAACTGAAGCATTTTATCTGGAGATGTTTTTCAAACATACTTCCAGTGAATGCCAATATTCTCAGCAGGGGAATGGAAGTGGAGAATGTCTGCAGTGTTTGTGGAGAATCTGAGGAAACTCAAGAACATGTGCTATTCTATTGCAGCAGGGCTAAAATCACTTGGAAGTTGGCACCAGTCCAATGGAACAGAACACAGCAGGAACAATTGACCCTCAAGGAATGGTGGTGGTGGATTAGTACAATGAAAAAGCAAGACATATGTGAGGACAGAATCCAATTGTCAACTTACATCCTATGGTGGCTGTGGCGTGCTCGAAATCTTTGGGTGTTTGAGAAAAAATGGCAGACTGAGACATGGATCATAAGAACAGCTATGCAAGAATGGTTGGAGTTCTCCCAAGTTAAAGCTATGAAGTAACAGACTGAAAGAGAAGGCACTAGGTCTCGAGTCAGTGGTGTCCTTTAATTTTGTGTTCGGTTACTTCATTTTCTATGTTATTCATGTTTGTTTGAGGTTTGGTAGTGCTGTTTAAGTTTGTATGGTGTCACTTAGTTTGATAGTATTGATTAGGCAGTACTGTTGTGTACTTGGCCTCTCATTTGTATATTTGAACATTCGTTTGGGTTATTATATGAATGATTATGCCGTTGGAANCCCTTGTATCACGTGAGTGATTGCTAAGAAATTTATTACTAATTTTAAAAAGAAATTAAAATTTTGTTTTAAATTTAAATGATTTTTTGAAAAATATGATTATTTCTATTTAAAATGACACATGTCACATATACAACTTACTCATCTTATATTATAATATTTTCTTGATTTATATCATATAACTAATTTGTAGTTAAATTTACTTAGTTGACAAATATTTTTATTTTTTCTAAATCATAATTAATAGATAATTTATTTTTATTTGTAAAGAAAAATATAAATATTTATTTATTTTATGTATACAATATAGATGTCAAATCGAAGCTAATCAAGAGATGGTTAGGTTGAGATATTATATGTGAAAAAATAATTATAAATACAGAAGTTAGCTTTTAATATAGATTTACAATTTAACTTAGTAAAGTGTATCTAATTAAAAATAAAAAAAGATTGGGCGAAAAAGAAAGATTGAGGGAAAAAAAAATTCATGTCTTATAACCACGACCAGAATAGAAAATTATATTAAAGCACAATTAATGCTCATAAAGGGTCATAATTCCAATATATTCATGGATAATTCCAAGACTAATAATTTTTAGATTGAAAGTGAATTAAAATTCGAGATATATAAGGGTGATAATAATATCATAAATTAGTATTTTTTTTAACTACATATCTATTTAATTTGTATTTTATGTTTTATATAATATATCAAAATAATCATATTTTAACTATCTTTGATTTGACATCCATATTACATATATAAAATAAAAATTGTTTTATCTATCTTTTTAAATAAAACTAGTTTTATCATCAAATCAGTTTAAAAAGTATCGAACAACAATATAAATTATTCTATAAAAGAATAAACATATAATTCAACAATACACCATAAATAATCATATTAATGTGATTTTCCATATATTATGGATAAATACAGGAATTAAGTACTACTTAAAATAAATTAAAGAAATATTTAAAACATCATTTCTCAATTTTAAATAGATTATATAGGAACCAAATGTTATTATGTTATTTAAAAAATAAATATAAAATAATATTATAATTAAATATAATAAAATAATTTTATAATTCATAATTTTAGAAAATATTACATTTAAAAGTAAATTTGTATTCCAAATTATTAAATAATATGAATTTAAAATACTTGAAAATCTAATAAATGCGAGATACCAACTCTATAAATATAACATATAATTACAATTCAATAAAACTTGTTTTGTTTTAAAAAACTTTGAATGAAATATATCGAGTTATAAATAATTATTTTAGACATATAATTTTAAAGGCATATATCATTTTTGACAAATTTACTGTAAAAAAAAAGGGCGCCATTTTGAATTAATTATCACTTTGTTAGTCATTTATTATTATTGTATATTCATATACATAATTTCATAATAAAAATATAAATTAGTTTAATTTATTATACAAATATTAATATATTTAAGTACCCGTGTAGTACGCGAGTATCATACTAGTCAACTTTAATTCACTATTTATTCACTCACATAATTTTAACTAATTATCACTTTCAATCATGTATCTCCTACTTTTGCATCAAATGATCAATTTTAATTATTTTATTTTAAATATTTTGTAATACAAATTTAAAATCTTACTAACAACTAATCATACTAAAAAATCAACACATAATGTTTTGCGAAGTAAAGAAAACTGAGACCCGACGAAAACCCTAGCTCTCGACATCCAATTTCGCTGCGATTAGCCTTCTCCGGCGAAGGGGCGGCTCAGGCCAGTGGTCACCCTCGACCGCTCGGCCGTCCCCGCCATCGCGCCTCTTTGGATTTTGCTGCTAAGGGTCGCTCTGAGGTGTGCTCTGCCCAAGGTCACCGGCAAGCTGTGACTGCGGTGGTGTTCGATC